AAAATAAATGTAGCCATGCTTTTATGTGATCATAAATTCTTGTCCTTAGGACATTTACATTAACTTTGTGTGTCATATAAGAATTGCTCTGTAAATCTTTGTTATTGTTGGGATAGATCATATTCTACGGCAGGTCAGAACTGCTAAATGTGATGTGCTTTTCATTTTCTCATCAGACACCAGCAATATTATATATAAACAAGGGAAATCGTAGATTTCAAACCTCCGGGTTTTTTTTTCTATTGGTTTAGGTTATTTGTTTGTGTGTAGTATGAAAGTTATGTGCGTAATATGTTTGTATGCCGGTTTGATGGCTACTGACGGTTGGTTCGGTATGGACTGTTGATTAACGCAGTGTTCGAAATACTTTTTTGAGCAAAGTAGCACAGTGTGCTACCTAGGGCAAAAACTAGGTAGCGCAGCAGAATTTTAGGTAGCGCCACGCCCCCCCCCCATTTGTCAAATTCTATGCACGTGTCGCAATACTATATTTCTTCCAATCATAGAGGTATAATGCCTCCATGCTCTAATAAAGTTACTATTTTTGAGGTTTCAACTCTGAAGTAGGAGCTCTGGGTCGAAGCCAAATTACGGGTGCGTGATTTATTCTGGTTTTCTACTGAGAAAAATCGGGACAGTATTTGCGCCGGGCAGCCGGCCATGTACGCGAAATGGTACGCCCAGTATAGCAGCGATCTATTCATGTTTTATGTTTACAATTGTGCAAATTTTTTTTACAGAAATTTGATCACATATGCTTAAAAATATTGTTATACTGATGTTAAAAAATATTTTAAGACACTGAATCGCTGGCTGTGATGTGCAGCAGTGTACGTACGCCGCGTAGCGTGCCAGACATTTTTTTTTTGCCGTGCAAGCCTATAGAATGCCCCACTTGCGACATAAATTTCTGAGGCTTATCGTGCGCATCGTGCGTATCCACAATTATTCCCATCGTAAACATAGTCACTGGGATCTGAAATGCATACATACAGGATAATTTCCCTTCTTCAGCGGGAGTTTTGTTTATGTTTTGATCGTACACGTCAAACTGCCACGCTGGTCTACGCTGCGCGCTGGTCTCGGCTGCACTTCCGGGTTCCATAAATCGACACCATAAATCGACAAAGAAACAAATATTTCCCCCCAAATTTATATTAATTGTGCACTTTTTCACTAGATGTGGCTATGCAGTCCTGGAAAACAGCGTTTAGTGCATATTTTCAAACAGAACTAGAGTTCCCCGATCTCATACCTTCGCCAAATGATGTTAATCTTTATGACTGACAAAGTTTAGATTAGATTATTCCCCCTGATTTAAGAAATAGGAACCTAATTTTCATTATATCATTTTATCATAATCTCAACCAAAAGACAGTCTTATATTAACAAAGAATGCATTCTAGCATTTCCTAATAAATTATGCAAATGAGGTCCTGATTTGAATAAATTATGTTTAATGATGTTCACCTCAATTTAACTTTCAAATACCACAAGTATGAAATTCCAGGCAGTTATCATTACATAATTATAAAATATTCTTATTAATTATGCAAATTAAGTCATTATTAACATAATCAACATCTTCCTGTGTTTCTCTCGTTGTCAATTACCAATGTCACAAGCTTCAATTGTCCTATCATGGAATGCAGCTGATTTATAGAATTTCCCTATCATGGAATGCAGCTGATTTATAGAATTTCCCCATAAATTATTCAAATTACATCCATATTTACATAATTGTCACATAATTATATTAAGCATCACGTAAGCTACCTACATACCAAAAATCACGACGATCTGTCAACCGGTTCTTGAGTTATCCCCTTTTGAATATTTTCAAGAATTCATCCCTGCAGTTCCAGAGCAAGCCGCTAGGGGGCCTAAACTCACGTCACTTCTTTCCCAGCACAAGAGCTACCTACCATCTAAATTTCATCACCATAGCATGTCTACATCATGAGATATCAAAACCGGAAGTTCAGCTGCAGTACCATAACAAGCCGCTAGGGGGTCCAAAATCTAATCATATTGAGGTCTCATCAAGACCTACCCACCTACCAAGTATCAAGACAATCCATCAAGGCCTCCTCAAGTTATCGTGTTTACAGACAGACAGACACACACACACACACACACATACACGAACGCCCCTGAAAACATAACCTTCTTGGCGAAGGTAAAAATCGCGTCCCCGCGCCCTTCATGTTGCCGCCCGGCGATCTCAGCTGAAGCGAACAACCAATCAGAGACGCGTAACGCGGATACGTCATGCAAGGTTTGCATACCGCCCGCCCACCGCTTCTGCTGGCTGCTGCCATGCTAGCTACGCGCCGTACTTGAAATAAATTGACGTGTATCGCCGTATTTCTGGAAATAAATGCCGCGACACGAAGATCTAGCGCTGACTCGGCTTGCACCCAGCGTTCAGCGTCACCCGCGCCATTACCCCCGCCGTCATCCCGCGCCGTCATTGCTGCGCCGTCACCCAACGTTTTTATCGGAATCAGACACCCCTCTGTTTGACCCCTTTTGAATGGTATAGCCCAAAACTGCAACCTCCCCATTCCTTAACAACATGGTAAATTCCATTTTCAGCATGGCGGGGGTGTCCGGAGCACTTAAAAACCTTTTATTTCCACGCCCATAAGCACATATACAATTAAACAAAAACGTTCTGCATCATCTGCAGCCCAACAGCAATACGTATACCGAACAACAGACCAATCCGTCCAGCCGATCGCGAGAAACAGCTGCTGACAGAAATGTTTCGAACAATAGTAAAACCTCCTCGCGGAAGGATATCTCCTTCCCCGGAGGTAATGATGTCATTTGTGTTTGAGTCGTAAGATCCAGTTTCAATACTCAAAACAGGAAAACTTGTTATTGATGTTCTTTTGGGATATAGGGCTATAAAGTTTTATTGTATTTAAAAAAACTCATTTTATAGAAAAAAGATCAATATAGGATAAAGAAGCTCAGAATGTACAATTTCTTTGGCAGCAGATGTCCTGAATAGGGTTCGATTTTCCCTAGTCCTGTTTTCCCAACGTCAACAAAGTACCACAATACTATCCCCCAGTGTGTGCTGTCACAACAGGCAGATGGAAGTCTGACCCTTGTACAGCCAAGCCGCAGTTAGAACTTTGTAGTGCCTTTAG